AATGGGAGAAGGGAAAAGCTATTTTGGGGGCTATCTCCTGTTCCCTCTGACTCCAGGCTCTGAGCATGGTCATTTCTGGGCAGCATGTACAAATGCTCCTAGAGACTCCTGTCTGTAATGTGGGATCAGGTTCCCCAGCCTTTTGAACAAACAGGGAGTCAGTCACTTGAGCCTTCATACCAACCTGTTCCCATTGCACTGGCAGTGGGTGCCCTGTGGGGAAGGCAGAATAAGGTAGAACAGTTTTGTGTGATGGGACACTGTAAGAATAAAGCCTGACCCACCCACCTCCCCAACAACATTTTTGTTGCATTAAAATACTTCTGTAGAAAAACTGTCATATCTCACATGTGAAAGGATTTTATTTATTCCATTTTGGAGACTTATTCAACACTTCTGAGATATTGACCTTTCATGTTTGAGATATTTGATGCTTAATATAAGCATCCTCATTCCACTTGGCTTGCCCCATGTGGACCTCCCCTCACTGAATTTGCATTCACATACCTAGTTTCATCTTAGATGTATTAAGAGGGAGGTTTTGTTGAGGGTTAATGGTAATTTATTTCTCTGGAGATGAGATTTCAAATGTTGCTCAGGTCAGCTGCAGAGAGCTTCAGTGATCTTTGTCCTAATTGGCAGTTGGTTCTCATCACGTAACCAGTATCACCACAATGACAAATTGATGTGATTCTCTCTCTGCCCAGGAGGTTCAGCACTGGAATAGCAGGGAGTTTTGCAGGTCAGGAGCGAGGTGCATTGCCAAAGCTCTATGGGGGAAGCTTGCACAGTGCATGTCTATACTCTGCTTGACTTAATCAATGCTAAGATTCCCATTTTCAATTAAAACAAAATTTCCCTCCTCCCCCCACACACGTGTGCGCACATGTGTGCATGCACACAAGAGATTTTGAAGTTGCAATTCAGCTAAGCGGTTTTGGTTTAGAGTCTATGCCTTTTGCTTGGATTTGAGGTTCACAGTCTTAAGGTGGCCTCTTTGCTTCAACATATATTCCAGGGTATGTTCATGTTCAGAACCCTCTACAGATTTCCACCCATGTTGCCCAAGATGCATTCTTAAATTCTTCAGTCTCTGTGTTAGCTGGAAACCAGAAAGCAGTTGGTCTGTATACAAAAGAAATTAGTGTTAGCCCTTTCACTGTCCTTTGTTTGTGCTTAATACCATGGTTTGGTTTTGTCTTGGTTTTTTTTTCCTTTTTTTTTTTTTAAATAGGACAGTCTGAACAAATAAATGCCTACAGGGCTTAGTTAGAGACTTATACTTCCCTGAATGGATAAAAATCTATACACTTTACCAAAACAATCAGCTATGCTAAGTTTGTAAATATTTATTCTGCTCTCTGCTGTTCTTCTGATATTTATAGGCCAGAGCTATCTGTGAATCAGTCTTCATTTTAGTCATTTCTGTTTGGCTTTGGGAATAGCCTCTGGCCTCTATCAAATTGCACAGGAAAGAACCAAAATAACTGGCCTGGCAAAGTGGTGAGCTCTATCCTTCATTACCCCACTGCCTGTGGTTTCCAGAACAGTGTTTTCCTCTCCACACATGAACTTCAGTCTCTCTCTCCCATCCCTACAGCCTTATATTAAATGCCCACGGCTGCCCTTTCCCTTCTAGGCAACACAAATGTTGGAGGCTTTCTGTGAAGGCTTGATTTATGACTATGAAAAGTAGAGGAGTTGTTAAAGCCCAAGGCTTCTGGTTTTCAGTTAAAACAAAAATTATTGCTGAAGAGTTCCTTGACGAATTTTGTCCTGGACCATTAATAAATACATGAAAAAAGAAAGCAATCCGAAGAGGATTTCTCCTAGTCCTTGACCATGCAGTTTTCTACTGCTTTTTTGTCATATTACAGCAAAAAGCAGTTGCAAAACTAATAGCCTGTATGAGGCAGAATCTGAACAGACTGAGAAAACACCCGAAGAGTAATTTTGTGGTATCTTTGCATCCTTCTCTGCCCCAAATAATTCTTGTTTTAAAAAGAATGCAAGATTATTCCTGCTTAGCATGAAAATGGGAGGCCCCAGTGTTTGAGTGGGGTGTAGCTGCACGAAGCACCTGGTATTCACATAATAACAGAAAAACAACAGTTTGGTGATCTGATGGTGAAGCAAAGGAAATGGATCTTTCTGGAGGCCACTCACTCACTCTTGGGTTCTTCCTCCACCTTAGGAAAAAATAAATCTGATTGCATTTTCCTGCCCTGTGGTTTCCATTCTAATCTAATGATATGAAACCTCTCTCTCTTCTTCTCCTCCTCTTCTCTCTTGGGAATCCGAAAGCAGATGCTCCTGCTGCCTGCCTTGTGCTGTGTTCTCAATGCTCCCTTCCCCGGGTTCCTAAGGGTTATAGAGTTTTGTGTATATGTTTTGTAAAAATTTAAAAGGTACAGTGGTAAATCCCAAATTGCCCTGGGTTTGCCCCCACCCAGTGTATGATGGGGTTGAGCAGCGCTTTGTCCCTGCCAAGCTGTGGCAGGAGATCTCTGCTGGGATCGCTCCAGTGCTGGTTGGTAGGAGGGACTAGAGGAGGTGTGCAAGTTGCATTCTTCCTTTTGAATCCACCTGAGATGACCAGGCAGTTTTCTTTGACAGCATGGGGGAACTATATCAAACTGGCTGCATCTCCAGGATCTCTGTGTATTTGGGAAGTTTGGTGACGACAGAGAGCGAGCCACATGTGTCTGTCACAGCCACCTCACACCTCAGGTTCTTGCATTTGGTTTAGAAAATGTTATTTGTTGACTTTCTGTATCACAGCGGAATAGGAGGCAGTTAATAATTAGTTTTACTGGTTCTCCTCTCAAAGCAATGTGAATTATTGTTTCCTAACTTGATTTCTCTCCAAATTCAATCTGTTTTAGTATGATTATATGGGCCCTGGTAGACTTCACACTGATGCTGCTTTACTACATATGAGAAACAAGATACAAGCTTTAAACATCCCTTGGATTTCATTTTGGTTTATTCTCGTTTGGTAGAATGACATCAGTCTTCCCTTGATGTGTTTGGGTTTTTTGCTTGCTTCCAGGAAACTAGCTGTTTGTTTCATTTATCCTGTTTACCATTACATTTCTAATTCTGACCCATATAAGTGCATTTTAATAGCATTGTGCTCATGATTGCAATTTACCATGCACTTCACTGAACTGTGAATAAAACACCTCCAGAGGAAGTCGAGAGAACAGATTTCTGTTCCTTTTGTTAGTGGAGATGCATCCTCTAGATCCATATTTTGGCACTGTTGTGCTGAACCAAACAAGTGGACACGTTTGCAGAATTAATGCAGTCTGCCTGCGCAGTGAGTACCCTGCAGCATTCATAAAGCTGCAGGGGAAGGGAATCCAAGCTCTTTCTCATCAGCTGTGTACCATGTGGCATTCGGAGGTATGCCCTCGATGACATTGAGAGGCCAAGAGTGCGTAAGCACACAGCAAAATCTTTTCTGAAGAGGAAGCTTTTTTTTTTATTTTTAGATTTTTAAATGGTAAGAGTTCATAGTAGTGCAGATTGCAAGCTCATGGTTTCAGGGTCTCACTTGGGAGACCTAGATATCCAAGTTCTTGTATAGGACTGAAGTGTCTAGAAGCAATTCCTATTTAGTTAAAAAATTGGTTGTGTAGTAGCTTACATCTTGTATTCACAAAGAAATTGCATCTAGTGGTGGGTGGAGTGCTGTAGGTAAACCTGTGCTAACTAAAAACTTGTGCAGAAAGCTTTGTTGAAACACTTAGGATTTTTTTTTATGTTTGCAGTTAACTATAGATTAAGATAAGAATATGAATTTAGATTTTGTTAACTGTACCTAAAAGACTGTATGTTTGCATGTGCATTTATTTATTCTTTGAATGGATTAGGTGCTTTGAGTTGAGCTGCTCTTGTTCTGGGCTTATTTTCCACTCAGTGAAATAGATACAGCCCCTTCTTATATAAAATAAATTAGAAGTCTTATTTTCATTTTAATTCTATTTTTATAATTTTTGTTCAGATGTCATCAGTTTAGCCAGAAATACAAATAATGTTGTTAACACAAAGAGGCTTAATAACAAATTAAGTACATGTGACCAGCATTGCTTTCTCAGGTCACCAAATCCCTTTGTAATGCCAGTGGCGTGAAGGAGATATGACTTGTGTCCCTTTGTCCTAGTTCAGTCAAGTAAGGTTTTATGCCTGCAACTCTATGATACTAAACTAATGAGTTAAACTAATGAGTTAAATTAGTCCATACACTGAACTGGTTTATTTAAACTTGAATAATTAGGGGTGAAGTTGATGGCTTGATAGTATAAGCTGATTTACTGCTCCTGTGGGAGCACCTTCCCAGTAGTGCTTGTTTCACTGCGTAGGGAGTTGAATCCAGGGTGCTAAATTAGTTAAAAACTGATGCAGCAGGGAGAAAGGGAGAAATGAGCCCTGGCCTCTGACAGTTTAGCTAGTCTTGCTCACAGACCACACAGGAAGCTCCACGATCGATCAAGAAGAGGAGGAGCAGCACACAACCAGGGAAAACACGGGGCCGTGAAGCCCCTGACCGGAGTTGGCTGGAGCTGCTCTGAAGCCCCAAGCTCTGGCTGAGCAGCAGGGCTGGCAGGAGTCGCACTGTTCACTCCCACCTCTGCCCCCTCCTCGGTTTTGCAGGAAGGATTGGCAGAGGGGCAACACAAGCAGCTGGACTGGGGAAATGATCCAGCTTAAAAATAGCCCTGTAGGGTTTTTTAAGATAAGTTTATGAGAGTTTTTTTTTAGCCAGGTTAATTCCTGCATCTGGTTCACCAAATTGCAGAGGTATACAGGCAAGTGTTTATGCATATGTACCTTAACGCACTCAGGGGGCAGGGAGGAGCTGGATGTGCTGCTGAAATGGTGGCAGCTTGGTTTACACCAATTCCCTCACCAATTTAAAGTGTGCATTTGCGTGTGTAACTTTGATAAGGCATTTCTGAATTTCGCGCTGTGTTTCTGTTGTTGCATTCAGTCCTGCTCATCTCAGGTGGATTATAGCTGAAACCCTCCTACTCTCTCCAGATACCTTGGGAACAGGTAGCCTAAAACTGCTGTCTCCTTGGCCATGTTTTCAGGCTCCTAAAAGTTTGTTTATTAAGGAAATAATGGGGCGGGGGGTGGGGAGAAAAAAACCTGTTTAAAAACTAGCACAGCAGCAGATGACGGCAAGGCTGCTTGCTGGCTGCGTGCTCCAGTGGTACAAGGCAAAGACGCTGCTGCTGAGGTGACTGGTCTAAACTCTGTGACAAACGAAGGGTTAACAATGCATGGATTTCAAGGGGCTCTGTTTAGTTTCCTTTGGTTTTATTTTCTTTTTTTATTATTATTTTACTTTATTTTTTTGTTGTTTTTTTGTTTAATTTCTGTGTTCTGGCCACACCCAGGAGAACCGTCTGCTTTTGATTTCTCCCTTTACGGTTACATGGTAAATTTTCTTTCTCATTCTTCAGAGATGGAAACGTTCAAATACTATATATACACATTTCTTATTTTTTTTCACTGCTCATCATGTTGCTTGTTATTTATTGCAGAGTCTGAGGCCAGACTAAAAGGGTGGCGGTTACTCGGTTTCTTCAGGCCCTTTGAATAAACCTTTGGGTAAAAAAGGGTTAGTCTGGCACTGCAAGCTACTCGCTAGTCCTAAAAATGTTTGCAGGGGTTATTTAGTGTTTACTGGGTACACTGCACTGAGGCTTAAATTTTCTTTCTGCTTGGGAAAAACTCCTGGCAGTTGCTGGTGGAAAGGAATCGTCATTTCAGTCTTGTTATCATACAGCATTATTAAACCCAAGCTGTTTTTATAATCTAGATTTTAGAAACGGTAAGTGTTTTTTTACCCAGAATTGTATCTTCCCTTCCTCCAGCTCCATACCTGCTACTATGGAGCAAACCAGTACCTGCTATAAAGCTAAGCTAGTAAATATTAATATTGGACATCTGCCACCTCTTGGGTTTTTTTCTTTCTTTTTTTTTTTTTTCCCCCCCCCCCCCCCCCCCCCCAAGGGCAGGGCAACCTTGGGAGGGAAAACTAAGTATTGTTTGTTGTGTATGTATTTAGGTACAAATTAATCCCTATTCTTTACAGGTCATCTGTGAGAAGGCATTAAAAATATATGTATGTGCTTTTTTTATTTCTCTCCCACATCAAAAATAGGTATATATAATTGCTAGTTTTTAAACTTAGAAATAACAAAGATGTCAAGTGTGGCTCACCTATTTTTCCTGATGAAAATATGAATGTCTAAGAGATACATTAAGACAAACCAAGGGGGCACAAATACTGACTCGCCATAGTCAAGTATGTAAAGCGTTAATTCAGCATCGACATTAAATGGTTATCAACAGAGTTGCACAAGCTGACTGATCTGTCAGTAAAACAAAAATTGTGGTTAATTAGTTATGTTGTTGAGAATCAGATTAATTACGTTTTAATTCACATTGTTAATTATTTTCATATAGTCTGCATATGGATTGTACCCTAGCTTGCGTTAACATTAAAAATATTGAAAATTCCTAATCAGTTTAAAGATATTTAATGATAATGTGGCTTTTAAAATCCCATACAGACTTCACTAATTGCAAACAAATGTGAATTAAAATAGTCTTAGTTTGGTTCTAGCCTGCACAGATTAATGTCTAAAAAAATTACCTTCCCTTTGCTCTCCAGCTGTCAGTTCACATCATCACCAAAGACATACATTTCATTCAGTCTCCACAGGCTTGTCTAGAACAAACAGAAATTTTAGTGTAGAAAGAGAAGAGAGAAATAGTTTCTTGTTGCAGTCTTCACCTCCCCTCCTCCCCCATCCTTTTAAAGATGCTTTTTTACCGTTATATAGAACTAGGGGGAAGGTGTTGATCTATTTCTCAGTCTTGCCTTTCTCTGTAGGGGTTCTTTGAAGCAGACACAATACACTGTCCCTTCTTAATCAGCTTTGCTCTTGCACCCCCTGCACCACCTCTGGTCCCCTGCAACATATTTGAGTTACATGCAGTTGGACTGTTTTATTAGCCCCAATCTCTTGTAGCTCCAACTGGAATTAATTTAAACAGAAAACTTTTATACTGTTCTGAAAAAGTCATCAGTTTGTTATTTATATAGTTTTTTATTTATAGCTGGAGAAATGAAATTATCTGAAGCTTTAGATTATTGGGTTGGAGCCTAAAGGAGCGCTCTTGTTGATCTCAATGTTGCAGTACTTGGATAAGTTCTTTTATTATTGCTATTCAGGGGAGGGGAAAAAAAAAAAAAAAAACAGAAAAAAAAAACCAAAACCCTGCATTTTACAAATGTGTTAACAGTTTTTTGCTGGAAACCTAGCTGTGGATGACAAAGGCCAGCATGTGCAAACTGCTTAGGCTTTTTAAGATTACTATTTTAAAGACCTTTAATAAGCACTTGAAGAATGATTGCTTGCTTGTGTGTTGTTGCTGACAGTGCTTAGAAATAAAAATGCCTTTTTTTTTTTTTGGAGGTGTAGTCCATATGTGTTGACCCCGAGCTGCATGAAGGGGGCTGTGGGGCTAGCATGCCATTCCCTGACAAGGGACAGCTGTAGATCACTCGCATCAGCTGGGTCTCTGGTTAACATCAGGAGTTTCCATTGCATCAAACACAAGCTTTGTTCTTCCTGCTTCGGGGGGTATCGGAGGCAGCAGAGATTACTCTCTGTATATTAAACTGATACTTGCTTTATACCAAGCCACAGGAGCCAGTTACCCTTCTCCTGTTCTGAAGATGCCCTAAAAGTAGAATGCAACAAAGTTTTTTGTTTGGCCCTGCTCTCTGTAATGGCATGAAGAATATCTCGTAACAGTTGTCTGTAGTAAGATACCATTTGTTACTAGTTAAAATCCTAATTCACATAGTCTGGTTGGCTCTGTTTTAATGTCAGTGCACTCATCTCCGTGGGAGGAAGCATGATCTCTTACCCTACCCTGTTAGGCGACTGTGTGAGTTGCCAGCAGCATGAGCATGTAGGACAGGCGTGTTGCATGTGCCTTCGTGGATGCAGTAAACCTAAATTCCTCTAACTAAAGGGATGTTTTAGTAGTCCTCAAGCCTTTGTGGTTGCTCCAAGCAGGGCACATCAATTTTTCCCAAACTTCATGGTTTAACTAGGCAGGGATTTGTTACTATCCACGATGCAGAGGTTGCAGTCTCAGAACAAAGCCAAGTAAGATGGGTAACAGGGTGGGAGGGAGGTAGCAGTAGGTCAGGAATGTCAGAAAAAAACTGCTTTTACTGATGAATTGGTATTTAGGTGTTTAGATTTACACTCAACTCCAACACAGTACTTGTAGATAGGAATATTCTGAAACTAGAATACATGATAATCTAAATCTTCACATTATGTTTGTTTGATGGTGCCACCTAGAAGCCCTGCTTCCTTTCAGGGCCCCATGCATTATTAGGGAGGTTACAGGCATATGAGTAGACATGAACTGTGCCCTGAAGAACTTACCAGGGATGCTTTACAAACAGCCCTTCTTCCTCTCAGCAGTTTTCTAAGGTAGGTAATTATTATTGTCTCAATTTTACAGGTGGGAAAAGCAAAGTTAAGTGTTTGTTTTGCCCCAAGCTTTGCAGAATTCCTGGTGCCAGGCATGAACTCAGATCGCTGCTCACTCTCATAGCAGTTTCTCAAGAGAACAAAGTGCTGCTCAGTGTCGATGTCCTGTACTGTGTCGGGTGGGTGGGGGGTCCTGCAAAGCATGTGTGTTAATTACCAGATGGGTGAGAAGCCCTGCTTGGGCTTGACCAGTTTCCATATGTTGGAGCAGGTTTTAGTGTTTTAAACAAAGAAAACAAAAAAAATTGTCTCGAGTAACTTTGTACTTCTTTTTTGGTCTGGCCTCAATTGCTTTTATGTTTTCTTTTTTAATTATTCTTATTATGATTACAGTTCCTTTATTTTATTGAATTTAATTTCTTTCATTTATGAAACATGCATGAACCAACAATGTGACTCTAGGAGGTTATTGCTGAGTTGTGCTGATGTCGATTTCATAATGTGATATTTTTTCTCTATTTACCTAGAGATCAGTATTTCAATATATAACGATGTGCATGTTTTCCCCCCTTCTCCCGCTGCATGCAGGGATTCGGGTTCGTAACTTTCGAGAATAGTGCTGATGCAGACAGGGCCAGGGAGAAATTACACGGCACCGTGGTAGAGGGCCGTAAAATCGAGGTGCATGTCTTCAGTAATTCAATTTCTTCTTTATATTTATTCTTTTGATTTCTTTTTGTGTCTTGCCTCACTTATTTCACATTTGGATCCCAGTCTCGTGTGTGCGTGTGTGTTTGTGTCTGTGTCCTTCACCTCCCTGCACTGAAATGTATAAGACTTTACACCCCTTACAGAATATTTTTATTGTTGTTTTGGGTATTATTTTCTTTTCTTTCTTCTTTTATTAAGTTTTTTTCCCACCCACTCCAAATTTTTGCCCTTCTGCTGTCTTGATTTTTCCTTTGCTTCAGTTTGCGAGGCTCCGATTTCCTGTTACCAGGCCTGAACAAAACTAACTGAAAGAGTACTGTCTGACTTCTAACTCTGTGTCCAAAAAAGAAAGCAGGGGGCCAGCCAGTATCCTCTCTTTTCTCCAAGGCCAGTTCTCCTCCATGCAAGTGTGAGATGATGCCTGTGGTGGGACGGGAGGGGAGACAAGGGGCAGAAGCCCTGAGTGGGCTGTGTTATAGACACCGCTGGTTTCTTGACCTGCCCGTGGTCAAGAGTTGGCTAGGTGAAAGCTAATCCTTAAAATTTCTAGCTCTCACTGCAGGGGAGTAAAGGGTTAATGTTGGCTGGCCAACATGGCCATATATTGGGCATGCCTGGTGTTGACCAGTTTGGTGTTCCACTATGTTGAAGGCTAACTGGCATCTTCCCTCTCTCTCTCTCTCTCTCTCTCTTTTTAAATTAAAAAAAAAAAAGAAAAAAAGAAAAAAATACAAATGTTAAAACAAAAAAGCCACCGTTTTTGAGTAAGATGTCTGCATATTTTGCTTTTTTTTTGTTTTTTTTATTTCCCTTTTCAATGGTTTAGCGTTTAGGGCCCTTCACTTGACTCTCTCTTTCCATGGTAACTATACACAATGCTGGCGATGGTACGAGTTGGCGGTAAGTGAAACAAAAGCGCTAGAGAAGAAGCTTTTTTCTTTTTTTTTTTTTTTTTTAATTTTTCTTAAAATTACAAAAAAACCAAAATTAAATAAGAAAGAAAAAATCCATCTGCCATCTCACATTAACACTACAAAATGTGATTTGACTTGTTGTCCCCACCCACCTCCTTCCCCCTTCTCCCCCTTTTATTTTCAATGCTGTTGAGTAATGCCGCCTGGACTTTGGATGTACATATCGTTTCGTAGCAGTCTGAGCTGTTTGATTACTGACTTCATGGTGATTTCCCCTTGCACATCTTACTCAGAGTTACTGAACTCCAGTTTGGCTGGTTTTTATTAATGCACCCATTTCCTCTTCTCTCCTGCCCCTTCTTTCTGCCGCTCTCTCTTTCTGAGACCTGTTTGTAGCTGTTACTGTTTGTTTTCTATCTTTTCTTTTCTCTCTCTCTCTCTCTCTCTCCCTCCCTGGTTTATTTCTTTACTTGGTTAAATGCAGCTGTTGGTCTCTTTGCTGACTGGTGGTTTCTGATCGGTTCTGGCAATTTTTCCTTTAAGTGCTTGTGTTGCACTTTGCTGTAGCAGCTGATTTCAGGCACTCGCTCCATCTTAATGATTGTCTGTGAGACCCTATCTCCTCCCTTCCCCCCTCCCTACCCTCTGAATCAATTGTGTTGTTTTTTTTTTTTTTTCTTTCTTTTATCTGTGTGTGTTTAACTGCATGCTCTCAGTCTCATCATTGTTGTTTCCCATTCTTTCTTTTTAAATGTGTGATGTTTCTATTGTTTTGGGGCTGAAACAAGAGTAAATGCAGCTCCAAACTACCCACCCTGCATAGCTCACCATCCATAAGTCTCAAGGGCCCAAGGCAGCTTTTATTTTCATATAAAATTTTTTTTCTTCTTCACCCTGGACTCAATTCCCATTTGGCCTGGGTTTTGATAAATTATTGATATAAATATAAATACTTCACCCTCCTTGCAAGAACTTTGAGGCTGTCTGACATGAGGCTGCAGTAACTTGGCTTCCAAACTGGTCCATCTTTTCTTTATCAGCACCATCTCTGTGGTAACACCCCACTTGCTTGAGCAATCAAACTGCTTGGAACTATGCAGAGCTCTGTAAAGAGGGTGGAGGGCACAATAAAACAAAAAAAAGACCCAAATCTACTGCTATGTGTTTCTTTTTTTTTTTTTTTTTTTTTTTTTCTCCATGAGGTCTGTGACAAGGAAAAAATAATCTGGAAAATGATTTGAAAATGATGGGGAGGAAATCTGTGAATGTAGAACATCCAAACACTTGGTGGTGTTCCAGAAGTCTCCTCAAGCCTTGGGAGTTCATGTCTAAAGCTGATGGACTCCAGACTACCTTTTTCTATCTAAAAAGTATGCCTGCCAGCAACCTGCTGGGCCCCAATCCCAACGGTGAGCTTGAGAAAGAAGTTTCCTTGTGTATCACCTGGTTCAGTTCCCCTGCCCTGGGCTACAGCAGTTACCACTGCCTCTCAAGCAGAACCTGGACAAAACCTTCAAAGTTTTACCCTTTCAGTCAGTGAGCTGAAAATTAGCATGTGCCAAGGGGTGGCAGGGCGGTGGAGAATCTGCACTTTACTCTTGTTGGCCTTTTGTTTAATGCATAATTTTAAAGTGCCATGTTTAGCTGTAACTTTTATAATTAAATGGCAACTGTTAAAAGTAATTTAACATTCTTGTAAAATTAGTTTTTAAATATTTTTTTTGCTCAGAGAAGTATAGTGTGTGTGTGTGTGGTATCAGAGTTTTCCATTGTTTTCCCTAATGTCCTATGCTTCCTTCCCTCTCCTCCCCCTCCCCTTTCTTACTTTTAGGTTAACAACGCCACAGCACGAGTGATGACCAATAAGAAGATGGTCACACCTTACGCAAATGGTAAGAGAGACTGTACTGATGATGAGCTGAAAGGTTTGAAGGAAGAGAAAGGCTTCCTGGTGAGGGAAAAGTCATGGCCTCTCCTCAGGACAAAAAAAAATAAAATAAAAAAAAAATCCCAAAGAAACCAACAAAATTCCACAAACCCTAATTTATAGTGTTACTCTTCAGTATAATTCCTAAGTATTTATGGAAGAATACCATGTTACAGATGGAGAAGTCAGGACAGAGGAGTAGTGACGTGCCCAATGTGACCAAGCTAGGAAAAGAAGCCAAGGACTGATGGGTTTCCTGCCACTTTGGCAAGCTGATGCTGTACAGTGGGAATGTGCAGTACTCCTGAGTCTCATTGCCACCATGCAGATACCTAAATATGAATGCAGAAGCATAACTTAGGATACCTGATTGGATATATCTCAGTTTAGGTTCTAACTGCAAAAGTACAGCTGTCCCCAAGCAGCCAGGAAAACAGAGGCATTGCGCTGCTTGTTTGCTCACTTTTTGTTACAGACTGTGCCTGTGTTCAGTCATTTTCCAGTGAACCTGAATAGAGAAAGACCAAGTTGTTTGGGTAATGAAGAATCCTATTTTATCAGGATATCTCAGTTCTTCTCTCTGTGCAGTAATTTTATTGCATAGGCATATATAGTATAAAAAGTCCTTCTCCTCCTGACAGAACTGAATGCTTCTTTGATACAGATTTTGAATCTGAGTCTTTGTCCTGAAACAGGTGAAAAATTATTTTTGGTCTGAAAGTGTTCCCAAACAGTTTCATCAAAGCAGGAAGCTGCATATAGGGAGTTGCTTATGTGAGAATTTGTTTGGTTTCAGTGTGAGACTCAGAAATTGGAAGATACGAATTTTATTTGTGGCTCTGCTTCTGATTTGTTGTGTGGTTCTTGGCAAATCTTTTTTTGGTTACAGAACTGAGGAAACAAGGGCAGGCAGAAAGGCTGGGATTCTGAGTCTCAGTGTCTGAAAGGAACTGGAGGATTTTGCAATAAAAAGCAGTGCAGCCATGTTATGCTGTCCTGAAAACAAAGGCAGAAAATGTATATGACCATTTGGTTACAAAACTTGGCTTACTCGTGAAACCCTGGTAACAGACAGGAATAATTTGTTTTTGCAGCTAGCAATTTAAAGCTACGCAGAGGTTTTTAGCATTAGGCCAGGCTTAAGGCATAATGACGAGTGGTTGTATGACTGTTACTAAATTTGAAGGTTGATCCTGGTCCTCTCATTGCCACCGCTCACTTAAGTATTTTGCCATCAAGGTGAGCAGTGCGGCAGCAGCGTGGCTGGTCTTGTGGAAGGAGCATGCATTGCTGCTCTTGTTGGTACTCTGCCAGCAGATGAAGGGGTGATGTTGAAGGGCTGCAGTTCACAAAGTTGTTTATGTGGTTTCTAGGTTGGTTAGAGGTGTTAAAGCACAGTAAGTGTGTCAGGACTCAAAAGACAGAGGGAGAGTATGGATTTACTTAAATAAAAATAACCTGTGTGGTTGCTAGCTGAACAGCTGAGATCTATCCTGAAAAGAATGCTTTGTGGAAGCCAGGACAGATCATGATGTTAGTTTTACACCCCTTGCATCTCTCCCCTGATAAAGGTGGGAGGTGGGGGATGTGTGACAGATAGGTTTCTAGATCTGACTGGGCAGTGTGTTCCTCCTCATACCCCAGTGATGAATTCTTTAAGCGCTGTTCTCTTGTAGGTTTTATGTTGATGATTTACAGTTCTTACCAGTTGTCCAGATGATATTAAAATCAATTATCTGTGAAAGCTTTCACCAGAAAAGCAGCATGAAGAAGACAGGAAATACTAAAATAACACAAAGAGGAGAAAATGTGAGCTGAATAGACTGAATTGCTTTTCTGTACCATAGTCGTGTAATGCAGTTAGTGAAGGAATTCAGAAACTGTTCCTTTTTAGGAGATCTCTAGCAAATAAAGAGAGAAGGGTGTTTTGAGAATTTAGGGCTATAAATTGACTTGCCCAGGATGACAGTCTGGGCTGGTGGCTTTAGAGAGATTTTTGGTTCCACAGTGTTCCTGGTGAAAGGGAGGAGCTGGCAACAAGGTTCATGCAGGGAACACGGGGTCGCATAGTGCTTGTGGCGAATATGCATATAAGGTAGTTGGCATTCCCTCAACAGCTCCTCTGCTATGCTGCAGATCAGCTGATGTTTTGCTGTTCACTCTGATACAGCGACCTGTACCTAGAACTCAACATTAGAAAAAGGCAGTTGGCCTCCATCTACACCAAGGGGGATTGAGGTGAAGCAGAAATTGGAAAGAGCTGTGGATGTGAAGCTGGGGCGCACGCAAGAGACCGTTCCCCCTGCCCACGCTGCCTGCTCCTTCTCTTGGTGTAGATTCTGGCATTCACTGCAGTCTTTGTTGTTTCAGGTTGGAAGTTGAGTCCTGTGGTTGGAGCGGTGTACGGCCCTGAGTTATATGCAGGTAGAGCTTAAGTAGACACTTCCACTTCTGCCATTTAACTGCAGTGGTGTTTGTTTATGTTCTCAATCTGCTGTTTCTTTATAACCTTTTTTACGTTTGTTGTTTGTTTTTTTGTTTGTTTGTTTTTTTTATTCTTTTTAAAATTAAATTAGCGTCCAGCTTTCAAGCAGATGTCTCGCTGGGCAATGACGCCGCAGTGCCCCTGTCAGGAAGGGGGGGTATTAACACTTACATTCCTTTAATCAGTAAGTAGCCCCCGTTGGCCCCTGTATTGTTACTGTGCTTGAGTTAACGATGACCTGTTACCCTTCTTCTCTCCAGTCTGTATAATATATACTTGAAAGGATGGGTCTCACTGGGAATGAGTTTACCTTGAGACAAAGTATACGGTGCAGTGGCTGTAACTTGTTCATCTGCAGTGTGTCTATGTACTGGTGAATGGGTCTTTCTGAGCAGTGAGGAGGCTGCAGAACAAGGGGAGGGCGTGTCTGAGAAATAGGCCATTCCCTTGCCCCCCTCCTGGTTTTGAAATCAAGGAAACCAAACAGACAAATCCCTAAAGTACATATTATACAAGCTGATAAACCTCGAGTCTACAGGGTCCCCAGTGGCATGCACCTGGACGCACGTGGGGTTGGGTTTGTGCCCTGGGACTCCTTCCCTCTTGGTATCTGTTTATTACATGTTTGCAGATGCCTCTGAGGTTTTACATCATTTCATCATAAGCCAGTTTACTCCAGTGTAAAGCGTAATAAAGCAGGCCCCACTATACACAGAGCCAGTTATTGGTCACACTTGTTAAATGAAGGCGGGCTCTCAGTAAACTGGCACTTTATGGGAGATTTCTGCTGCTGTTATATGGGCTATCTTGTCTTTCAGGCTTTAAAATGAACATACAGAGGATTGGGTGGCAAAGAGTGGGAGGGGAAAGGAGGGAAGAGACTGATGTAAGTTGGTTGACTTTAAGGGCCTCTTGACAAATTATTTTAAAGAGCCTCTGCAGTTTTGGAAGAGCCGCCTGCTATATTGATAGTAACTCTCTGCGCTTCTCGGACTCTAACCAGACTGCATGGCGGTGTCAAAAGGCGGGGGGAATTGTACCCTGTTTGTGGTGGGTGAGGCATGCCAAAGCATTAACCTCTTGCATGCCAAACCTCTCTGCAACTCCTCTCCCCCCAAAGGCCATGGTGTAGCAGGAAGTATGTATGGGATGCTTGCTGGGTTATAAGCATGCCCCTCTGCAGGACTGATGCAAAATGTCCCACCGCTGTGGAGCTATTGTGTCACTTTGTTTGAAGCAGACGGTTGTTCTCTGGGCAGGAGCTTGAATCCTTTTCATCTTCCACCTTGTCTGTGTTTCCAGTTCCAGGCTTCCCCTATCCAACCGCAGCTACCACAGCAGCCGCGTTTCGGGGAGCCCATCTGAGGGGCCGAGGAAGGACAGTGTATGGGGCAGTCCGGGCGGTACCTCCCACAGCCATCCCTGCCTATCCAGGGTAAGCACTGGTCACGAGAGCAGAGTGCTCTGCACAACCATGTCAATTTTGGTTAACCAAAAAATAACTACAATTGTCTGGATGGTGAGCGTCAGGATATTGCTAGTGCCAGAGCATTCTGCACACTATGGCATCCAGTGAGGGCAAATCCAAATTTTTCCATGTCAAGTTCTTGGCTGAAACAATTTTCAGTACTTACAACAGCTAAAAGCACTGATGGATTCCTTCTTGCAATTTCTCAATTGTCTACATGGTATTTGTCATCCATTGACCCAATATGTTATGGTGCTGCTGAGAAGGACGCAAAGAGAGAAGGTCTAAAATTTCTGAAAAGATTCTGCTCTTTGCACTTCACTTATGTCTTCATGTTCAGGAATGAGCAATATTATCCATTACTTTCTTGCCTCACCATCTGGCAGTAGAATACAGAAGAGCCAGTTACCCACAATGGATTTGCTTTCTTTGTTGGAGACGGTTTAAAAAGGTTTAAAACAAAGATTAATCAAGTCCATTAGTTTAGAGTTGGGAGTGTTTGGGATATAAGGAGAATGAAAGTGCAGCATTCTTCTAACTGTTGTATGAAGCACTGGTGAATGCGTGGCCTTAGCATTCTTTGCCCTCTGACTTTTTACTAGTAATGCAGTGGAATAGATGCTGTTACAAAAGAGTATTCTGCTGTTTAAAAATACAAGGAACTAGGTTTATATGTGAGTTTTGTTTTGTGTTTTTGTTTAAATGTGATGAACAACAGATAAATTAGCAAATCCCTTCCAGACTCTCTTTTGTTTTGGTTCTGATTTTGAGGATGCTATATGCATATTGCCTGTCTGGAATTTTACTCGCCATATTTTCCAGGCAGTGCTCTCAGAATAGAAGTAAGAAGGAATCCTCCAACACAGAGAAGTGGACTGACTCTTTTTTTCTTTAGCCCCAAAAGACAAGAAAATAAATTATAAATCTTTTATTAAAATGTGAGGTGGAAGCTACACACATCAGTGCAAGGAGCTAGCCTGATATATGCTGGATAAGTTTGTAGTAGCTGGATAAGCTTCTGTAGCAGATGAAGTGGTGAGAGCTACTGTGGTCCCCCTTTTTAATTTTTTAATTTTTTTTTAAAGTCCAGCCTGATATTTAAAGTAGAGGTTAAGAAAGTAAGCTGCAGTGGTCATGTATCTGTCTAGCTTTGCTCTCTGACAAATCTGGCAATGTTTGTATTGAATTCACTGGAAGAATTTAAATGAGACCTCTTGTCTGAACACATTGGCCTTCTAAATAGTGTTTCTTCTGGGTTTTCAGGTCCACCTCTTTTTGCCACCACTCCTAATTCATGTTCTATATTCTCTAACCATAGCTTCTGACCTGTTTGTCTGTTACTCTAAAAATGACACAATCTGGGTTTATTAGGAAGTGCTCCACAGTGAAACAGAGAAGCAAAGCTGAGCTAAGTGCTGCCGTCTAGCAGAATATGAAACACTTGCACCAGGGAGGGCAGGTGTGTTCCTCATCCCTGGGAGTAATGGCTGGAGCATTCCTAACGAGAGGCTGTCATGAGTGGCTCACTGGGAGGGACTCTAGGCTTGTCTTTGATATAAATCCAGCCTGAGTCCTCTATAAAAGGTTTATTTCCATTTGGAATATGGGCCAGACTCCAAAGATTATCCCTTCAAAATACTGTCTCATGACTGTGTTTACTTGGGTTACGTTGAGTTTGTCTGACCCTGCTGACTGATTTCATGTCTTCATGGATAAGGTACTATCCAGTTAACTTTTGCAGGGCAGCAGTAAACAAGGCAAGTCCACAAATGGCTCAGAACTGTCCCTTGTCCCAAGCACTAGAATGAAATTAATGAATTCTGGTGTTTATTGTCATCATAGTTTGAATCTCTACAAGATATTTTGGGAAAAGGGAAATAGATTCCTTGTGGAATAATAAAAAATGTGCTATTCAGTTCCATGTTTCAGTAACCTATAGGATAGCTGCTGCTTCACATGGGCATTGTTGACCTCCATGGAGTCAGGGACAGGCACACATTCCTGACACCTTACCCTGCATCAGTTGCTTTCTTCCTGGCCAGTGGAAAGATGACACCATAAGATCAGTCAGCAACACTGGAGCGATCAAGACGTAGTGAGTAATGTGGAAGAAGACAGTAAAGTAAGCTGCAGGTTAACTCAGACCCTGTAGAATGAATTGGTTTTCACAAACCCCAGTGGTGTTTAAGTTACAAAACTTAACGGTATCACTGCATTTGAGAGCTTAGCAGAATTGAAAAAATACAGAATGTAGATTAATAAAAGCTCATTGGAATTGCCATACTGGATCAGACCTGAGGGCTGTTCAGGTTGGAGCAAGTTTTAAGTGTCTAGTGTGAGATACTCCAGAGGAAGGTGCAAGAAATCTTATCATTCTTAATAGTTTTAAAATTTATTTTAAGAACTCAAACTAAGATTTACTAATTGCAGGTGTGGAATGTACATATTTACGTATGGACATGGGCGTTTATCCAGGGAAGACCATTCATACCTTAGAACACAATTGCTCAGGCAATTGGAGATGATGTTAGATAGTTGCCTGAGCCTGACCTCAGAATACAAATGCAACCTTCAATTTATAACCAAGGTGGTATTCAATAGAAGTAAGGAGACATTATAACCTCTGATATATAGCATGAGAAAAACCTGTACTAGACTATTGCCCTGATTTGTAGTGGCCGTGCTTTCTAAACAAGAATGCTGACAAATTACACTTCAGACCAAAAGCTGTAAGAATATTAAGTCATTCTGAAAAAAAAACCTGAAAACTTGCCTACTGTAAAACTCTCAACATTAAATAAGCTTGATCAGTTTTATTTCTCACACTGTAGGTTAGGCATTAACTTGTTCATGGTCATTAAATACCTATGTGAAGAGTAGGCTTGCCATAGTAAAGAATAATTTAGTGTGGGATTGTAAGTGCACAGAGGATAGTAGATAAAAGTCAGACTAGATATAAGGCAGTAGGGAGCTTTAAGAGTTTGGAGTGCTTGTTTTGGTTCCTTTTACAACAAAGTCAACTGTTGGTACATCTAAATGATATGACGGCTGCTTTACAAAACCAGCATATTTATTTTTCTTGTCGGTGTGTTTTAGCTCAGCTAGTGGGCCTTTTGGAGATGCCGCTGAGATTTGTTGGGCTGCTGGGCTGCTTTATGCTTCTGGTCAGTCTACATAAGCAGAATAGTCTCTGTGGTTCTCAAATGAAGGTATTTTCTCAGTTTTTGCTGGCATTAAGAATCACACGTATGGGTGTTCGAACATATAAATAAACCTTGCTAAATTTCAGCCCTGGCAGTTGGTGTCAGTCAAGTCCTAACTGAAGAAGAGATGGAAGATGCACGTGTGCTTTGTTGGTTGGACTCAGGAAATGTTACTCTTACCCGTTATCAGTGTTCCTTGCAGTTTTCTCTGGAGAGTTGATGCTAGCTATCATCTTTTGCTGACAGGATTCTAAGTTACAGGAATAGTGGCCTGATCCAATGTGGTAATGCTTATATTCATCCAACTGATTGTGTTTGGAATAACTGTTAAAACTGCTAACCTGTTCATAGACCAACAGTCACTTCCTCTGTCATGCATTTGCCTTTCCTGCAGGAGCAGGTGGAGTATCACTGCTAAAACACTCCTGGTCCTAGATAGAGAACCCAGCAATGTAAGTCACTGCCCCAGGAGCCAAATTCTTTGTTATGCGGTGTAAAAATTCAGCTTAAACAAAAATGATCTTATGGCCTGCTTCTCCCTGCTGAAGTGGCTCCCCTTTTCCTCTAACAAGGGTCTCTATCTTCATATCTGCTCCCAGTGCTCTTGGAGACTGTAGTAACTCTGTCCATTGGGAATGGAGTGTACTTTTCCTGGGGAAGACAGCAAGACTAAATTATTCCAGCAGTAGCTAACACTGCAACAGATTTAAAAAAAAAATAAAATTATTTTTTAGTAATAGCATGCAGAGTTTTGGCAAAATCTGCTGGGCTTTTTTTGTGTGCGTGTGCCTTACAATAGGTAGGTATCTGAGGGTGGCAGGCTCTTGGCAGCATTTCACATTCCATCTGACGAGTAAAAAATTATAATCAGAAGAAAAGCTAGTGTTCCATACCTTCTTTTTCCTTAATGCTACTGGTAAGTCATGCACATCAGATCCATGAACATCGCAGATGGTGGGGCTAATGCTTTTTAAAGCCTTGAGTGAGTTTGTGCAGAGCTATTCAGAGGACAGAACAGGAGGAAATTCCTTGTTATGAAGCACATGCTGGACTCAAACAGCTGGGGGGGGTGTCCCCTCTCTTCCTTCCTCACCCTTCCCTGACCCCTGTCCCCAAAGCGAGCTGCATAGTCTCATGCTAGCAAATGCTCTGGTTAGAGTGTCTCTTTGGGAACCCCAGGCTCTGGTTTAATAATTTTCCTGCTTGAAGTTCTGCGGGAAATAAAAGTATGGCTTAAAGCAGAAAAAGCACCATCCCATGGAAACCCTTCCACTTGCTCCTCTCTGCTATGAAATAGGTTGTTACTACCAGGGACTCCCACTGCACCTTTCAATTCTCGGACCTTGGACCAGTCACCTAACCTTTTTAGCTCATTATCTCTGCTTGTGAAAGCAATGCATTGTGGGTATTTTTGGTTTTTTCTTTTTAATTATATTTCTCTGTGTTTACTTTGATCAGAATTGATTGACTTGTTTTCCTGAGGTGTTGCATTGGTTCTTTAAGATGCTGAATAATAATACTTTGCATGCTTGTGTGATCAGCCAAATCTTACCGCATGTCTAATGTGCAGGGTAAAAGCAGGTGATGTATGGATGTCAGAAACAAAGTCATGCAGCCCTGTGAACCTTGAAATACATAATCATACACAACTCTGAAATGTGCTTCTGACGTAGGTGACTCCAGGCCCTGTGGGATCCCTTCTGAGGGGCTCCTCGATTTCACAAGCCCACTTCATGAAGCTAATGTTGCCATGTGTTTAGGGGGTAACTAAAATCATTCCAGGAGAATAACCAGAGTGGAGGTTTCTAAACCCTTGTTTCTCTTCTTCAGGACATCAGATCTTTTTGAGTCTATTTTTATTGTACAAGATGGTGGATCCCCTCCCTCTCTCCTTTGCATACTGTCTACCCCTCTGCCCGCCCCTTCCCTTTTGCATGCCGTGGAAGATGACTTGGAGCCGTCTAGCGTGCGTGCGCACACACATTCTCTCGCTGATTTGCTCCTGCCAAAAGCCCAGGTTGTGGATTCATACATCACCTGCCTGTGTAAATCGCATGTGCATGCTGCCGTCCTCAATAACCGGAATGTGTTTTCTGTTCTTTTGTTTTTTGTTTTTTTGTTTTTTTGTTTTGTTTTTTGTGTGGATTTTCTGCAGTGTGGTTTACCAGGACGGATTTTACGGTGCTGACCTCTATGTAAGTACACACACCGGAGCCTTCTTGTCCCCAACCCCTGACAAGCCAGCCTTTTTTTTTTTATTTGTTTGTTTTTTTCTTGTTTGGTTTGTTTGGTTGGTTTGGTTTGGTTTTTTTTAAATATCATTTACTTTGATTTTCTTCTTCCTTGTGGATATATATATTTATATATTTAGGAATGCAAGCATGCTTCTCTGTCACTGCGCTTGCCCCTGGGTGCAAGACCTAAGCCTTTGGGTTTCCTGATCATTGCCAGGGTCAGTTTACTGGGTGTCCTGTCCCCCACATGCACACTGCTACTAATCAGCCTGGGAGATGATTAGCAAATTAAAATTTCTCTCAACACTTCTTGTTTACATAATTTGGATATAAAAATAACAGGACTGGTTTAGCCTCAGACCTTCCCTTTCCTTCTCCCCCTCCACCCTCCCCTTTCTCTCCCCTCTTGGGACCCTTTCAGGTTTGATTTGTGCAGCCCACACTAAACTGAGTGATCTATATGTTTAAAAATGTTCATGTGCCACTGGGATGTGGAGATTATCCCTTTGGGGAAGACACTGGGACTGATTAAAAATGGAGAACGAGATGCTAGAGTGAAGACTGACATCTCATTTTGCTGGTAGAAATGGTACCTAAATAGGCTAGACTCTCTTGCCTCTTTGGGGAATTGGGAAGTACAAATATGTGGAGATGTTCAGTTAGAAGAGTGAGCAGCCTCCTCCTGTCTGGGAATTAGCTCTGATACCATGGGAGTCTTTGTCCTGTCATTGTCTTTGTCCTACCCAGCCAGTCTGTGTTGCAAGTCTCCAGGGCATCTGTGTATACGTAGGTCGGTCATGGATGGAGGGATTCTGATGGGCCAGTGAGAAAAGCGGTTTCCTTTCCGATGGAGAGTTATTGCAGGGCAGCTACGGTCGGAATATGCCTTTCAAAGACAAAATGGTCAAGTCTGCTACTGCCCTAGCAAGTTGTGACCTGGCTAGCTCTAGCAGGATTCCCTTTCATGGTATTGTAGGTAATAGCTCTTTGGAGCCGAGGAAGTTTTGTATTGGGTAGTGGCACAGTTATCAGCATGGATTTCACATCCCTGCTCCTTTGAAGCTGCTACTCCTGGCATTTATAAGGAGGACCCTGGGGTTAGACTCAAAATAATGAATGGAATTAGCTTTTGGATTTTGATAGCTTATATGAAGCATAAAGTCTTGTAAAGGCACTTCTCCCAACGCAAGTTACAGCAGTTGGAAGACATGCTCTCTGAGCATAGAGATATTGGGTGCATTTCTTCATTCTTTCATATACTGTTGTATGCACAGTCCTTTAAAAATTGATCTGCCTAGTCAAGTGTTCCTTTATAAAACTGTGTCAAGCACTACAGAGGGTTCTGGGCTTTCTTGCCTCACTTCTAAACACCAGCTTTACAGACCGCTGGTTTGCTTCAGCAAGTAAGAAAGCAAATGAGCAATGCTTAGTGCCTCATCCCTCAGAGTATGGCATATAAGAGGCTGTCATGTTGAAAGGGAAGACTGGCCAGGGTTACTCCCTATTTTTTTTGAGAAAGCTTCTTCAGGGCTTCCATAGCAGATGGGGAGGAGAGGCTTATCTAACATGTTTTAAGGAGAGAGACTTCAGGAATGAAGAATCCCTGTAACAACTTGGTGCTGCCATGCAGTAGCATCATGTAACACAAAACCAAGCCCCTAAGTCAGCTTAGAACTGTTAGGTGGACTTTGGACAGCTGTGCCATTGATGGCTCTGGTGTCACTGTCAGAAAGCAGGATGATAGAACAGAGGACTCATCAAGATACATGGTGGTGCTTTTTCCTACGTTATTGCTGCCCAGAGCCCTCCAATGGAGCTCAGGAAAAAGTTACCATAATTCAAATATGAAATTACCCTTCCAAACAACTTGCTTGGCACAGGTGGAATGATTACAGTGTCCCTGTGCCCCACTGACTTGTTGTGCTTTTCACTACTATGTCCCTCTGGTTGCTGTGAAAGGCTTGTCCAGATTGTGGAAGGGACGGCAGAGGGTACTTAAGTTGGACTGGGCAAAAGGTTAAATTGAGATTCCCTTAGGTCTTCTGAGCCTGTAGGGTTGTGTCAAGGAATGGTAGAAAGGAGCTGAGCTGGCAGGGCATGGTTAGTGGTAGGCAAGTGTTCCAAGTTTGGGCTGCTTTATCTGCATACATGTTCTGCACCAATTTCTCATTTTCTTCCTCCTCCTCTTCCTCACTCCTTTTTTCTTTCCTGGGGCAACCATCCTGCTAGCCATTTCTTCTGTGAAGAAGGCATTCCATCTCTTGTTGGATGCATCCCATTCTGGCAAGACACCTGAATTCATAAAACTACCCGCCCCAGGATGCAGAGGGCTTCATTTCGGATCATAAGAAAGGTTATCTTTCTTCTACAATGGGATCAATCTGGGTGGTGGGGGGGAAACCCAAACAAACCCACCCATGCGAAGACTGCTCCTGCCTGTGAAAAGCGTGCTTGCATCCACTGGAAAGAAAAGGCTGGTGAGCCCTGCCGCGGGCTGTTTGTATGATTGTTTCTTTCCACAGCTGTGTTTTTTTGAACTGCTCTTCCTGTGTTCTGTTATAGAATAGTCTTACAGGAACCAATCATTAGCGCTAAAATACCTCAGGTAGGAGTGCCAGTGTGACCTGCCAACCAATCAGATTGTGGATTGCAGTGGAAAAAACTGAATTATACTAACCATTCCAGCACCACATTAGAGATGGGAACAGAGGCTTTTTTAGGGCAGCGCAGACTCCTGTGTGATCCAAGCCCCTGCTGTAGCAGGGTGGCGTGTGTCCAGATTTCACACCGAGTGGCATTTCATTTAAAAAAAAATTAAAAAATTCAATGAAAGGGTTAACAAGGTCATGCTTGTCCCATTACCATGTAGAAGCACCTGCTGCAATGGACACCGTTGTCCTGTCACCTCTTTTAATTCATTCATGCTCATTTCTGGTGCACATATGCCACCCTTCTAATACAGAAATACTGGAAACAGTTCTAGCCCTTTCTGCTTCTTAACTTCTGTAACAGGGCAGTTGGAGGGTGGAGAAGACACATTTGAGATATAACAAACAAAAGATCCTAAAATTAGGCTTGCTGCCTAAACCTGGCAGGTGGTCAAACGTATCTAACTGGTACCGTGAGACAGAAGTTCCTCCAGGGGTATGGGAACACTTGAGTCTTAGTGGCATAAAGGCTCTATGGAGTAAAGAGAGACGGCAACGCACTTTGTACACCTGTCTAAGGCAGCAAAGGGGAAAAGGGAGGCTTATACCACAGGATGCACTGACATAGCAAGCAGTAGTTTTGGATTTTCTCATGTTCTTGTTAGATTGATCACCTAATACAGACCTGAAGAGTGGAAGAGAAGATGGACCTATTTTGAGCTGAACTGTGTAGTCTTAAAGTGCTCGTTTATCTACATTAACATGCTTAGTAATGGGAACGCTGCTTTAGTTGGGATTGCAGCTTCCTGTCGATGTTGGTTTGCCATGTTTGTGTTATTTCAGAGAATATATTACAATATCAAAAAAGCTATCATCATCTCATGTTAAAGAAGGAATTAAAAAAAAAAATTCTTGCTTTGTTAATGAGCCAAGGATGATAACATCACAGAAGAGTAATTTTAAATTTGGGGTTTTGTGAATACCTGAGCAAATACAGTTGTTTGACAGTTGAGAGCTATGGGCTCAAGTGCTACACATTCACATGGGGAAAGGGGTTTAGCACAGCCCCAGCAACACCGGCAGGATGTCCAGAGAAAGAGAACTTGAATCAAGATAAACAACATTTAGGGTTGTGTTCATCTCTCTTACGAACAATCCAAAAGACTGTACAGGAAAGGACCAGTCTTGATATGGACAGTTGGTTGTTACTGCCCAGTAGAAGTGCATAAACCTTTTCTTTAATTCCCCTATTTCTTTATCAAGGTAGTGTTTAAACTGTCCCTTTGATAGAAACGTCTCTGACTTAACATCTTTGCAAGAAGCTCAGCCACATTTATTTCTTTTGAGATGAGGCTGAAGATTTTAAAACCTGGACCTAAATGGGTAAACCTATCCCTGTGGAATCACTTCACTTAAATAGATGGAGTGGGAGTTTGCATGGCTGTCCTGGGTTTCAGGGACTATGCCACTCAGTGTTGTGTTCTGTTGGAGTTTGGCTCTGGCACTGGAGGAGTGTGGTGCAGCTAGCAACTGCCTTTTTTATTATTATTATTTATTTTATTTGGAAACATGATTGTTCATGTTTGAAGATACTCTGCTCTTATAGTTTATATTTACTAGAGTAACTGAAGTGAGTGGCATCAGAAATCGCTAGGGGTGGTAAGACCATGTAGCTGAGGTTACAGATGAGCTCTGCATACCAGTTAAAGTTGTGTGTGAACAGGAATAGCAGGAGAAAATAACTGGTGCATTAGACAAGCTGAGCAGGGCTTGAGATGCATTGATGGAATTATAGGTGGGTCTTGGGTAATGGAGAACAGGAGCATCAGCTGGGTAAGGCAACCTGCACAGTGTCTCCTTTTCGCTGTGCTGGTCCTGGAGCTTGGTGAAAGCATTTACAGAATAATGAGTAATAGTAACAACTTTCTTCCTCTTTCCTTCACCCTGTTTTGGTGTATTTGGATCTGCTGGTCATGCTAAATACTTCCCTGTGTCAGAAATCCCCCAGCTATCGACACTCATTGCTCCTATGACAGGAACGTACCATGGCCATTATAATCCCCATTTTTTGTTTTATTTGAAGTACACACGAGTAGAATTTGCAGACCACTTTGAACTGAGCGGTTCTGCCTGTGCGTGTGTACCTCTATCCTGTGACTTTTTTTTTTTAATTAACAGTAGCTTCAATTTTGCATCAGTGCATGGTTAAAAAGCAATACACATGTCAACTATTTCTTAACTTCATTTCTCCAATGAATTATTTCTCCTGTTTTTTTTGTTTGTTGTGCAGTTGACTGAAGAAATGTTAACATCCCGCTCTAAATCTCTCAGTGGAGTCTCTGTTCCCTTCTCTGATATAACAGATGGGTTATTGCTTGTTATAATTATTAACATTGTGGTGTGGGACAGGGCTAGGGTGGGAGCCATTTCGGGGGGTGAGGGCGGGAGGCTTCGGGAGTCGTTAAGGTTGGAATGTTAACTCCAGTGGTGACTGACTGTTTCCGTAATAGCAGGTTGTTGTGGCTGCACGCTCTAGTACTTGAGGCTGTGTACTTCACTGAGCTTGTGGTAGAGCCTAGGGCGAACTGCTGTCCCAAGAGAATGCTGGGATGGATAGAACTAGCCAATATGAGTCTGAACGTGGTGACTTTGCTGGTTGTTCTAGCTCCAGATGTCAGCATGCTTAGTTTTTAATTTTGATTAATAAATGTTACGCCATTCCCCCTCCCACACCTGATTCCAACCCTTCTTTTCTTTTCTTCTGTTTTTTTTTTCTTTTGTTTTTGTTTGGTTTCATTTTCCTTTATGAGAGACATGAGTTAAAAGAGAATTACATGGTAACCCTTTTATGGTTTCAAACTGCATCTTGCTGTCATGTTCAGAGTATGTGCCAGGCACATTTTAAATGACTTCTGATCTGAAATGTGGCTGGGCTGGCAAGTGTGGTACGGAGTTGGGGGGGAATCTGGGTGCACACTGAAACTAACTGCCCTGTGGAGGATAGTGCTGGGGGAAAATGGCTCATATGCCATGCCCAAGTGACAGAATCCCATCAAGAGTCCAAGAAGCTTGTAAACTTCAGGGTATTTTTCATACCACAATGATATTGGTATGAAGTTTTGTCTTAATTTGATGAGGTCGATGACAGTTTGATTTGCATTAGGGCTGCACCTCATTCCTCTTATCTCCATCATGTTTTGGAGGTGGAAGTAATGGTGGTGCAATGATAGCATGCAAAAAAAAGTTAAACCTCCCCAAACTATCAGTCCAAAATGCAAGGGTTGAAACAGCTAGATGAGATGAGAAGGGCAAAACTGTAACATGGCATCTTTCAGGCAATATGGTCATGTTTCAGAAGTGTAGACTTGTGTTACTCTTTCTTCTGTTAACTAGGAAATTAAAAAGTCTGTAAGTCCCTCTTCTCCGGAATAGTCCCTAGGCATGTTTTGGACAGCGTGTTAGCCTTCGCGGGGCTAATGCAGGCCCCATAAAAGCAACCAAAATTAATTTAAAACCATTACTTCTAATTTAAAAGCTACCTGGCCCAAAACAGCACTGTTGAGCAAACATGCCTAAATGTAACTAAGAGTGCAAGATCAGCTCTACTACAGACAAAAGATCTGTAGAGAAGAAGTGGTAGAGGTATGTTGAGCTGATTCTGGAGATGGAGAGCAGAAGTCTTCTTTCTGGTCCTTCAAACTCTGAAATGTCAACTGGGGGGAAAAAAAAAAAGCCAGAAGCAATCTGGAGTTTTCTGATTTTATTTATGGCTCATTGTGTTTCTAGCAAATCAGAGCTGGGGTTCATTTACTGTTGCCTCCCCTCCACCCAAGTTAACAAAATTGTGTTCAGAACTGTACAATAAAGATAGATCTAACCCGGGCTTCAGAGCCCTCTCTGCTGCCTGCCGTGCAGCCTCTGCCCCTGGTCTGAAAGGTGGCTGGCCTCCCTCATTCATTATTTCAGGGTGTGCAGAGCTGCCTGTCTGAGCCAGGTCTTCCTCTGCCCCAAGAGCTCCTTCTAGGTGTTCCAGGAGGAGACTCACAGGTCTTCCTCTGGATCTGGATTCACATTTTTGCCAACCCAGCTGTAAGTACATTTTTAGTAACTTCCTCTTATCAGTGTAAGCATTTTAAAGACCTTTACTACAGGTATGTAGCTTGGGCAGAAATGCAGCAGCAATACAGACTGTTTTGGCATAATTTTGTCTCACCTCTTTCCTTCTTACATGGAGGGAGGAGAGAATGGTCTGGGTGGTATCAATGTCAGTTTGCTTGTTGCCAGCCCTGAGACCACCAGGGACTTTCTCTGACCATCTTTTCCTGATTGCTTTTTGGTTTCTCTAGCTATTGATACTTATATGCCTCTGGACTAAATTAAATTCTAGCCTTTTGTGTTTCCTAGTCTTTAAAAAACAAGTAGAGGGGGGAAAAAAGTAGGAATTTCTCTGAATGGTCCCGTTTCTAAAATAAGTACTTCACAGAAAGTGCCCATCTCTGATTTCCCCAGCATAAGAGTAAGGGGACATAAAATTTACATTGCATGCAAGATTTCGGCTCTTGTGGTTTTCAGTTCCTCCATGCCAAATTTAATTTCCTGCAGGGATATAAGTGTGCTCAGGCTTGCTTTATTTTATTCCTTTTGCTAAGCAGTGTAATAGAAGAGTCTCCCTGATCCTTCTGAGGAAAGGAATATACATGAGTTAATGGGTGATGCTTGCGATAGACATGACATGGCAGCTGATGCAGTTTGAAACACTTCCTCTCTTGTGATGTGTGTGACTTTTTTTTTATTTATTTTTTAATGCTCTGCGTGGGTGGGCAGGTATCTGTAAAGTCAGTTCTCTTCTGTCCTGCAGGGTGGATACGCAGCCTACAGATATGCACAGCCTGCTACTGCAACAGCAGCCACGGCCGCTGCAGCCGCTGCAGCAGCTTACAGCGATGGGTATGTAAGGAAGAGGCATCCACGGGGGGCTAGCTTGCTGTGCTCAGGGGTTCAAGAAGCATTGATCTCTCACAGGACTTCTACTACTTTTCCTGTTTCTTTGTCTTACTTGCACACGCACACATGCATGCACAACCCAACATGAAAGACTTGAATGCACGGTTTGTCTCTCTGCTCCTGGGTGGTATTGCCCTCCACTGTATGTGAGCTGGCACAAATCCTGGCCTCTTCCCTATCCTTGTGATTCTCTGCACAAAGGAGGCAGTGTGGTTATGGCCTCAGAGTCAAAAGATTTGGCTTGCCTTGCCAGCTCCTTGCTCTGTGACTCTGGGCAGGTTGTTTAATAACTGGGTGCATTTCTCTCCCCGTCCATAAAGTAAAAATTGCTAAGCTCATCCAGTGCTCTGGGATGCTTTAACATGCAGCTTTGTATGGATACAAAGGATAATCATTAACAGAGTGCTTGACTTAAGATTTTTCATCTTACATGCAGTGAGGCTGTGTTTTAATCCTAGCGTGTGCACGACCATTAAAATTTATTCTCCTTTCTCATTCTGGAGAATCCCTCACTGCTTTCCAATTATCAGCTGTTAACCGTGCCAGTAGCACTAGCACCAACAGTCACTCTCCTCCCAAATTGCAATCACATGAGGTAAGGGATGCACTAGTTGTCATTTCAAAGGTGCTGACCTCTTTCCTACAGGTCGAGCTCATGGCTTCTGCCACATTCGTCTTTGCAGGCCGTTCTCTCACTCATCTCATACGATGCATGGCAGCATGTCCATAGGATCTCTTTGAAGAGGGGCTGCCTGTGTGTGCATGTATGCATACATGTGTGTAGGAGGGCATGCTGCTTCTGCCATTGCCTGTGGTCAGACAGCTGTTTGTCTGTCCCTCCAAAGTTAGTCTTTTTTTTTTTTTTTTTTTTTTTAACATCTTTTCTCCTTTTCTTCAGTTATGGCAGGGTGTACACAGCAGATCCTTACCATGCCCTTGCCCCTGCCGCTAGCTACGGAGTTGGCGCTGTGGTAAGTCGGATTTTCTTTCTTGTGCCGTTTCTCATTTCCAGCATGGGGGACAGCTGTTCACTGGGTATCAGGTAATGAAACTTCACCCAGAAAAACTCTTTTGTTGGGCAAGGAGGTCCTTAGCTGCAGTGCTGGTTTGGCAGTTGTTCTGCATATGTTTGTGTGTGTACACTAGAAAAGGAGACAGGTTGTAGGAAACCAGTTATTACTTGGTCTTGTGCATCCCCTAGTACAAAGGAAATAGCAGAAGAATGACCAAAAATGTCAGGAGCTAGAACATTGTCAGTGAATCAGTAGAACTGCATCAAGGTGATATATAGAGCAAAAATCAGCAATAGTTAGAGATGCAGGACA